GCACCTCACCACCACAACCAACCTCCGGCCCCTCCTCCGACGGCCAGCAGCACCAAGCCAAAACACAGCGGCATCAGCACTGTGGTTTGAGCCCCTCCGTAAACTCTTTCCACTTGGGAATGGGACCGTTTTTGGCGGGGTGACCGTTGGGCCTCTCTTTAGATTGTAACGTGCAACGGATTGTTGCTGCCTACAAGGACACGAACAAAAGGGCACCATGACTCACGTTTCAACTCATCCAGCACCCGTTTCCTCTGGAAAGGGGAGCCACACTGTGTAGCACCGGTCTTCTCTTTTGGGGCGGATAGAACTCAAATCATCAGTTCTTACCAGTCATTGCTCAAGCTGTAGAGCCCCAGATAAAGCTGCTGCTGCTTCTTTTAGGCTCGATTTGAGAGACTTTCAACCCTCTCGACTTTGGCGGTGAAGCAAGAGCATGCGCAAAAGACCGGGGCAACTGTTTTCTTGTGCTTAATTACCTAAATGCATAATCAAATAGCCTGCTTATTAGTTTGCAGAAACTAAAGTACGGTTTGAGAGAAGTCGGTCACAACGAGCGGTGTTCCAGTATTTAATGTAGCTGTAGACCACACATTTCTGTGATATAGTTAGGGGACTATAATGTGCCAATTATTAAAAAAGCAGTGACTGAGTTATTCCAAAAAAGAGAAAAAGAAAAAAGATGTGCTTTGTTTGTGTCGTGCATATAGTATTTTGTAAAATAATAATAATAATATTAGCAGCTATTATTATTATTATTGTTATAGGACAAAAATGATCCGAAGCCTCAGATAAAATCTCAGTATTCTCTGTGTACTCTCGAAGTTACTAGTTTTCACTGATACTGAACTCAGTAGGTGGCCAGTTGAACAACATGGAAATTATTGGTTGCCTTGGAGTTGGAAGACTCTCCCGGAATCTCCAGCTTGTGTTCGCTCCACCTCCTTCGGGATCTACGTAGCACAAACCAATCACAGGGACTGTGGGAAGGGTGAGGGCGGAACAGGGAAGCTCTTGGATGGATCCTCCACGGCCTCGACTCGTAGGTTCCGGCCACTGCTGCAACATGGTTTTATTTTTTTAACTATTTTTTTAGAGATGAATAAATCAATATGAAATAAATGTACATTTGAAGATGTTTATGGTAAAGCCGATGAGATGGAGAAGGCTATTTTGTCGTCTAACATTAGGGGTAGTGTTTGGGTCGGAGGAAAGCCAGAGCTGATGGAATTCTCTCCCCATATTTCAAGAGTGAGTTTGTGCAGAGATGTTGATTTTTCTCAGCAGGCTGAGCGTGTGCCCTCTTCTGTGTGGAAATGAAGTAGATTTGATACATATTCTTCTGTCCTCCTGTGAGAATGCCTTTCACCTGCTCAGAAACACAGCTAATGTAATGTAATCTGATGTAATGTAAACTGCATATAATATGTAGCAGTGGGTCAGTCGGATGAACGGATTTGGACATGTTTTTTCACACATATCCCCTTTCTCGTTTCAATTTTTGACTTGTTTTATACTGTAAGTAGATCAACGGTGACGGAGCTGTGATTCGATGTAATAGTTTTGTGTGTTGACACTCTTTTAACTCAAGTACAGAGCTTCTGAACAGCACATGTCATTGTAAATAATCACTTAATGTACAGAAACCACGGCTGAAATGAGCTCGCTCTCTTATACGAGACCAGTGTCAGCACATTTGCTGTGCGTTGTTTCTCTTTTTTCTGACTTTCTTTCTTTTTTTAATGAATTAATCATGTGCAATATGTATGTTTCAGTTTTGTAAATTCAACCAGTTGGTTGATTTTGTTTGTCGTTTCTGTTAGCATATTTCCAATATCATACATCAAACCCCATATTGTTTCTCGCCCCCCACCGACATCTTGTTCTCCCTGGTCTCTGTTTTACCTGCAACCTACAGTCAGGAATGTCAACTAAAGTACTCTTGCATGTATATTGTACAAAATATTCTCTAGATATTGCATATTTCCAGAGATATTATCAGTGTTACAGTTGACCGTTGTTAAATGAGTTATGATGATGATGAGCATATTAAAATCTGTAGACTTCTCTTCATTCGAAATGTATTTAGCCTGTTTCGTACCGAAATAGATTCAATTAGGAGACATCTGTTTATTGTTTATCTGGGCTTGAAAAATCAAACACTGAACGTCAACTAGTTTATAAAGGAAAATATTAGCTGGTAGCCTAATCGTAATGAAGTGCCGCCGGGGCACATCCGTATAATAATAATAATAATAATAGAAGCTTATAGATAATAAGAGCATAAATCCGTGTTTATGTTGTTATCAGACTTCATAACACCTGGCTTGTTCCCAAGATGCACTGAGGCCAGTAATTTGTACAGTACAGCATTAATCAGACTAGGACAGCCCATCTCTGTGTACAAATGCGATCACCCAAAGCCATTTCTGACTAAACAACCCACCATAAATTCAAACAACTGTCAAGAAAATGTCTCTTTCTATGTTTTTTTTTTAGGTTTTTCACCTTTGTGTTGAATGTTTTTTATGGATTTCACTGCAGTGTATTGTAAATGTATTGTGGTGCTTCAGCTTTGTACTGTACAGTACAGGACGGTCAAGTCAAAACGTCACAAAGCTTTGCATGCAGCTGATGCCTAGCACCTCTGGTTGAAATGTGAGCTTATTTAAAAATGAAGAAATGTGCTTTCTTTTTACTATGTTTTTCCTCATCTTTTGTTTGTTCGATTGTTTTGTTTTTTTTAAGTGGTGTTGGCTTGCTGTTACATTTTATACTGCGCCACTGCATTTCGGCATGTATATCACTTGTTTACCCCCTAAAAAGATCATTACGCTGTACATATCACAAACCAACGTGAGAAAATAGACAAAAAGCATATCATATATAAATCTAATATGGATGATAAAGGGAAAGTGTAAGGGTAGGGAGTTGGGTTGACGTGTACATAGTCTGTATAATACTTTTTTGTTTTTCGCTCAGCCATCGCATTGATGGTGTAGTCCTTTTTCACCTTAAAGAGACTCATATTAACATGACACTGCTTCTGCTACCAAATGTACTTCTCAAATTTGTCATAGGATCTTCTTTAATAAGCCGACTGTTACATAACTCTCATCGCCTTTCATGTGCGTCCACTCATACATTTCATTTTTTTAATTACCAAACAAGGAGAGGATGGTTTTAATATGCATTCTGTTTCTAAGTAGATGATGAGACCCTATTGATGTTTAACTATAACTGTGACCATGTTGAGAACATGAAATAAAACAATATACCGTAAAATTCCTAACTTGTATTGTTCTGTATGAAAGCACACATTGTTGAAATCATTTTGAATGCATGTTTCCAAGTCCTTAAAATTTTCTGTGCATCTCAAAAGCCATTTATGAGTAAATTCTTGTATTGTAGTTATATATGAATCATAAGAAATAGCCTTCAAAACTCTCCAAATTGAATTCAACATACTGGTACATTTGAGTCTGCGGGGTCTTTATGAAAGGTTTGCTGGGTCTCAGAATTCTTGCAAGTCTTTCTCACTCTGACATATTTTTATTCACACGTTTCAGTTAATAGTGATCAAACTAAAGCATTCTGTGAATAACTGGTAGGTTAGTCTCTATTCGTCTTCTCGGTACTCCTTGAGAGCTTTTATGAGCTTTGATAAACTGGAGTTTCTTAGTGTCTTTATATTTGTGGCTGTCAAACTCAAGGTCAGTACATCCTCCTTTATCCATACATGAGGTCTGAATTAGGAGCCAAGACTTCACACAAATGCTTTGAAAATATAAAAAATATATATATACATTACTGTTCAAAACGTCAGTAAGGTTTTTTTTTTCAATACTTAATTCAGCAAGGACGCATTAAATATATCAAAAGTGACAGTAAAGTATTTAAGGTGTTACAAAATATTTCTATTTCAAATAAATGCTGTTCTTTTGAACTCTTTCGTTTTCACCATTGTTAATGTGTAATATTTCTCGAGCATCAAATCAACGCAGAATGATTTCTGAAAGATCATGTGATACTGAAGACTGGAGTAATGATGCTGAAAATTCAGCTTTGCCATCACAGGAATAAATGACATTTAAAATATATTACAATAGAAAACAGTTACGTTAAATTGTAATAATATTTCACAATATTATTGTTGTACTGTGTTTTTGATCAAATAAAAGCAGCCTTGGTGAGCATAAGAGACTTCTTTGAAAAATATTAAAAAATCTAACCAACCCCAAACATATATGATAAGGTTGAAAGTTTCAAGATTCGTGTTTAAGTTGTGAATGACTGAATAAAAATGTTGGTCCCACTTTATATTAGATGGCCTTAGCTACTATGTACTTACATTTAAATTAATCATTTGGTACAATGCACTTATACATGTTTTTACATTGTACTTATATATTTTTTAAAATACCTATATGTAATTACATTTATAATTACACTGACCCATCCCTTACACCTTAACCTATCCTTAACCCATACCACCAAACCTGTCCCTAACCTTACCCGTATCCCACCTCAATAGCAGCAAAAGTGTTTTGCAATACAATATGAACACAATAAGTATTTTTTTTATTTAAGTACATAGTAGTTAAGGCCACCAAATATAAAGTGTGACCAACATTTCTTATGCATGTGACCTACAGACAGGTGGTGAGAAAGAGACGCTGTGTCTGTCTGGCCTGCTGTAGGCTATAAATAGAGCAGCTTTGAGGGTTAAATCCTCATTGTCAACACTAACGGCGGTCTCGCTGCCCAAAGATGGACTGGAAGGAAAGAACCCCGCTAAACTGCTCATTACTGTTATTTCAGTAATATTTGAACACAGGAATTCACCTAAATCCGAGCAAGTACTGTGATGAAATCAGAGGCCAAAGAGAATTGACGACGATCAATGTTTTCACTCAACATTGAAATTAATAATTTGTGTAGTGCAGCTAAACACTGACATCTGCAGGCCACGAAATAAACTGCAACCAAACCGACTCGTGTTGTCATCAATGTGAGACGAAAAATGGGTGAAAGGTGTTTCATTCATTTGTGGGGTGATTGGGGTGAGTATCTACCTTGAAGATGAACCTGAACAAACTTATTGTTTTGTCAAGATCGGTCAAACTTGGGAGAAATGTGTTTGCTGCACGAGGAGCTTGTCTGCATCACTTTCAGTCGCGACGCTTCATTAGATCCAGTGCGAGGAGTTTGGCATATGCCAAAGATCTGTTCCTGGGCAAAGTAAACAAGGTAATGTCAACAAACTACAGAATAAATTGTTGCTTTACTGACATAGCTATTAAAATATGACACCACTTGAGCAAGGTCAAAGAGTCTTATAATCAATAATAGCGATGATAATGTTCATAATATTTATAGTTATTACAGTGGATGGTTTTCTTTTTGGTTAAATACTCTGGATAAGACTGCATTGTTACTGTACATTAAAATTATATATATATATAAAACCATTACGCCTATGGAGAGTCCCCATAAACCATAAAAACAAACCTGTGTGTGTGTGTGTGTGTGCTAAACCTGACAAAATCTCCAAAAACCTCCCTTTGGGGACGTCATTTGTAAAACTGGTATAAAAATAAAGTAAACAAAGTTTTTTTTAAATTGTAAAAATGCAGAAAGTTTCCTGTTTAGGTGTAGGGTGATAGAATATACAGTTTGTACAGTATAAAAACCATTACGCCTATGGAATGTCCCCATTTAGATAGCTAAGTAAATGTGTGTGTGTGTGTGTGTGTGTGTGTGTAGCCAAGTCATATATATATACTGTATATATATATATATATATACACACATCTTTTAGGCTGAAGTCTTTCCCTACCCAGAAATCAGTCATGAAGAATTAGAGGAAATAAACCAACTTGTTCAGCCTGTGGAAAAGTTTTTCAATGAAGATGGTGGGTACAAAAGAAGCATGTATTAATGAGTTTTTGTTTAATTATTGTGAGGTCTCTCTTCATATATTATGTCACGTATATGTATATATACGGGTAATGTATTATACTGACTTGTGTTCATCTTGGAAAAATATACTTTAATACAGTTAATTCACAATTTATAATTAAAGCTGATTTCTGAAATACTTTTGTGCTTCAGTGGAAGCAAGGGAATCTGTC